TGTTGAGAAGAAATAAAGGGGGTTGGGGTTGCCTGGAAGCTGGTGAGCCAGGTAACGCCGCATTGCCCGTACTGCACAGACCGACCGGCCAGACGGGGCGGACGTGATGGAACAGCTCATCCGGAAGGGATCAGTTTTGGAGGATTTTTTTACTCCGAAATTAGTTACAATTTCTACATTTATTTTCACTTTGTAATTAACTACAATTTTTTACCCTCTATTGTATCCTTCTTATATCATATCCACTAAAGGGTTCTGTTACTTGTACTGAAGAAGGATGAAGTTCAATAGATTCACGTAAAAAAAGTCGTCGTTATCATCTTGAATACGTTTTGTACTGAAGTAAATAACTTAATTGTTTATTGGAAAAGTAGGTTAACTTCGGTCGTAGTAGGAAAGACCATTTAACGGCAACATAAATTATCAATAAAGGATTTATTTACAAATCCCTCGCTTCAGAGTTTCATCTGGATAAAATAAAATAAAAAAAAGAGGCTTTAATTCCGTGACCAATTTCGACAATCTTTATCCCGGGACCCGCAAATGTTCTGCCAAGAGTTATGTTGAGTCCAACCCTCGGCAATCGTTCTTTATGTTAAGTCCGTTCCACTATATGTTCTTTGTATCCCAGAAAACTGCACGGGTGCTCGTCGTGGTGTTGTGTAAAAAAAAAAAACGTTTAGAGGACCATGTGCTCTAACTTGTGTCGCTTATCCCGGTGGTCTCATCGAATAGTAAGAATTAGATGTCGTATTCGTTTGAAGTTCAATGCGTTCCACAACACTAGCGTATTTTCGTGGATTTTTACAGCAGTTCGACCTTCGCAAGTCAACCTAACATGAGACGTCGCAAACATGGCGACTCGAAATAAATTTCTCTATCCCTGTCCTTTTTAAACGCCTGGCTAAACAAGGAAACGTTGTTGCAGAAGCATTATTTCTGGCTATGTTTCCGGGGTGGCTAAATTAGCGGGAAGCAAACAAAATGTTTTTCGGCCCCGGTGGCTTAACGAGGAAACATTGTATCGGAATACAAAGTGTCACGTGTGCACATAATAGTAAATTGACTTCCGAAGAAGTCGAGAAGACTTTTTGCATCTTTTCGCCGATTTTCTTTTGTAATCGTCCCTTGTAATCATGCCACATTTCTCTGACGTCTGTACATCGATTTGATAATAAACCACTTCCTTTGCGGAGGCAAATGTTTCCAAGTTTAGCCGCGCGGGAAACATATGTAGCGGAAACACATTATGCTGCGCGAAAACAAGATCATGTTTTTGCCTCGGGTCAAAAACATGTTTGCTCCCGGACACAAATTTTGCTTCCGAAACATGTGTTTCCCAGTTTAGCCACCATGAAAGAAATCAATTGACTAGTGGAGGAGGTAGAGGAGCCACAAGCATGTCATAGAAAAGGGAAAGCATGGAAGGAATCAAATTGGAAGGACGAGAAGATAGAGTTACTTATTACCTTGTATGAGGACAGAGCCTGTTTGTGGGATGTAGCTCATGAAGACTGCATGAATAGGGACAAAAATGAAGTGGCTTATTGTTAAATCATAGCTAATAGAGGGGAATGGTTTTTAAACGCGACAAAGTTCTTTGTTGTATGTTTTAGTTCGCTTTTTTGGCCTTGACCGAGCACAAAACACAGTAGTCGTTTACTTCTGACTGAGGAATTAACCAATGACAACGTTTTCGTTATTTAATTCATGCATAGTGTATCAGCGCAAAACAATAGATTGTGCACGGACGTGAACTTTCCAACATAAATCTTGGCATCTTTGTTTGCTCCTTTGATGTTTGCCGGGCTTTATAGCCATTCCCCTCCATTAACTATGGTCAAATCGATGTACAAACGTCAGGGAAATATGGGACGATTACAAAAGCAAATCGACGAGAAAATGCAAAAATTCTTCCCGACTTGCTCGAAAGTCACTTTATTAATTGCGCCTGCTTGACCCTTGACCCTCTTGTCCGAAACAGCACTTCCTCGCTTAGCCAACCGGGCCGTAAAATACTTTATTTGCTTCCAGCTAATTTAATTAGCCATCCCCGGAAACATAACAGGAGATAATGTTTCCGCAACAATGTTTCCTATTTTAGCCAGACCTTTACTGTCCCTCGGATACGCTAGTAGTGTATTCAAACGATATAATCTTTAAATTTTCCCCGCCCTCACGTATAACTGTGTATGTTTACAAAAGAATTGTGTATGTTTAACATGTTTCGTTTTCTGATATTTCTCTGAACCAATTGCTTGCATTCGAAAGTGAAAGTTAAATGTTTTAAATTGCCAGTAAAACATACAAGGACTTAACATTGTCAGTGGTCAGTTGAAATTAAATTTTAGCGCTGAAAGAGGTAATTAGCCTTGAGTTTACTTAGTTTAGACGGCAGACGCTAGTAATATCCACTATGTTTGTACAACATCCGGGTAAATGTTTCTTACGACAGACGAGGAAAGCCGGCATATTTGAAAGAAAACTGCCTTAAACGAAGTTCAAATGATTATACACCAAATTCTACAAAGGTAACAACAAATAAAGAACATTTAACTACACTGATTGACCGACAAGGACTAGCGACATGTTTGCATAGGATTTGTGACGGCAATCGTTTGTTGATATATTTTTTGTTAATTGTCGTTTTCAAACTTTTCAGCTGTCTCGCCATTGTCAAAAGTTTGACGTATTTCGCTGTGTAGTTTTTTTTTCCTCTGTTTTCCCAACAGAGTTTTACCAAAACAAACCTTGGCCACTTGTTTTTCCTTCCTATCTTTTTACTGAGTGAAATAAAGTGTAACTGGAAGTAAGTTTCTTTTAGTTATTTTTACCAGATTCAACAAAGATTTCAAGTAGAACTAACAAATCAACCTGACGAAGTCTCCGCCAGATATTAAGGAACCTCAGTGAGACGTGATCTTTGCAGATATAAACGGCAGTTTCTTTATTTATTCCTTACTAGCTTGAGGCAGGATGTATCATTTATTAACATAGCCAGTACACTTTTGTGAAGCCGTGATTGACGTACGTTTAATGTGTTTTGCGATATTAACGGTTTAAATTTCGTTACCTTAGTATAAATAACATTCAAGTAAGAAAAAAGGGCACTCTATTCGAAAATGTCAAAAATGGACGCACTGAATACGTTTTCACCTCGGCGAAATAATTCCAGCAACGGAGTGTCAACACCAGCTTTAGACGATCACAGCCTTCAAGCTGAGGCAAGGGAGGCCGGGATGTTTGGATTAATAGCAGTTCTGTCGTTTTTGTTGAACTCACTGTTCTGTGTGATTATGATGAAGAAACCTACCGCGTTGAAAAGACCACACAACATTCTTCTGTTCTCTTTGGCCATCACAGATCTACTAACAGGTTTGTAGCTTTATAAAAAACGAATTTAACAGTCCCGAAGTTTAAAACGATATGGATTCTGTTAAAATTAATTCAGCCTACAATAAACGTCAGTCAAGTTCAGCCAGATCACATCAACAAAAAAACACAAAAATTATCATTTGTGAGAAGAGCGAAGGGTCAGGGGCACCCAACGGATCGTTTCGGTAAATTATCTGTTCGGAAGGTCTTAAATCCCCTCTGATTTTCTCGAGAGAATTGGCCCCTCGAACTTTCGTGATATGAGAAATTTAATGTCTGTTGTTTTCGGACTGTTGAAAATGTCGTTTTGGGTACCGAAAAAAGGTCAGCTATCATTTTCGAAAAGGCGATAAGACCTAAGGTTTTCGGGAAATGGACAAAAAAGCCCTAATAAATTCGAGAATACTCAAGTTCCCCTAGAATATCCGAACAGATAAAATTTGTTTAGTACAACCTAAAATTAAGCTACAGAGCTTTAAAAGTACTCCAGATAGCCTGAAAACAGCGTCTAACAGCATTCGAGAGAAAACGGTCGTTGGGTGCCCCTGAAGGGTCAAAGCTACACAAAACTGTTATAATAAATCGTGCAATTGTGATGCACAATTTACAACTGGTGGTGGTGATGGTGATGGCGCATTTGACTTATACTGTTTCGTTTGAATATATTAGATATATAAGCAAACTTCCCCGACATTTTTATCAATGAAAACAACCCACCTTCTACTGCAATGAACAAAGAATTTCTCACCTAAACCGTGCGTGGTAACACAAACATAATAGACAGCGATGATAATTGGAATCTATTACTATACTGAAGAAGCTTACCATATCAAGCGTTCAGCACCACACTTAAACACGGGTTTAAAAGCCAGTAGGGAACTATTCCTATGCTCTTGATATATGTAGTATCGTCTTTATTTTGTATTTTCACGTGCTAATGCTAATGTACCATCTTGCAGTATTTAAATTTCTGCTACCTGTATGTCACCTCAGTCTGAAGATGATATAGAATTACCTTATTACATGAAATTTTCGCGACACGTTGATTTCGCGATTTTGAGGTTCGCATATTTCGCGACACCTTAATTTCGCGATTTTGCGAAAATTTTGCATTTTGACTCACTTTAATTTCGCGTTTTTGAGTGAGACACGCTATATTTCTTTGTCAATGTTATTTAAGATGCCCATGAATTTAATCAACAACGTCCAAGTAAACAGAAACGCAACTGATTATGTAAACAGTAACAAGAAAGATGTTCTCACAGTGTCTACAAGGCAATTGAAAGGTTTAAGCTTCTAGTGGAACAGCACTACAAGGAGCCAGTAAATGGACAGTTTGAGGATTGTACAAAAGAAGTGCTACCTGGAGTGGAGACGGAAAGCAGTAGTAATGAAGAGGACCAGAACATTACCACAGAATAGTTCAAAATGATTGTTATAAACGTGTGTAATGGTAATAAAGTCGCTTTTTTTATTGTTGACGTAATGTGAGTCACTTAATTTTCGCATCATGTTAATTTCGCGACATTTAATTTTCGCGTCACTTAAATTTCGCGATTTTTTTTTAAATCGCGAAATTCGCGAAATTAACGTGTCGCGAAAATTTCATGTAATAAGGTATATCGAAATATTACAAGTACACCAACGATTCCTTGCATTTGTTGCCTGTATTATAGACACAATGCATTTACTCGGTATCACATTTATTCTTTAATCAGCTCGATCGTGATTTCTAAGGAGTTATAAATAAACAATCCCGGGAAACAATATATACGAAAGCATTCACGGCACAGCCAAGACTATTTCACAAGCAGAATAATCGTTTTGACGACTAGTGAAAAGAATAGCTATTCTGGAATTTTGTGGAATATTTTCGTCCGGATTGACGTCAATCAGATTAGCTCTCTTGGTAATTCTTTTTCCTGAGAATGTTACAATTCTCAAAAATTTTATTTGTATTAACCTTTTGCAATAAACGCCGAGAATAATAACGCAATGTTTTTGTTGTCAACAGGTGTCTTCATTCCTCTTACTCCCGGCTATGTTATCAGCAACGACTCATTTCCAGTTCCTCGCGGTTTAGCCGGTGAACTCTTCTGTCGTGTCCTTGGTAGTAGGCATGCTCTGTTCACATTGGGAAAAGTCTCCATTTTTAAGATCACGTGTCTAGCTCTAGAAAGATGGTATTGTATTTTTCGACCCATTACGTACAAGCGCTATTTCACCCGAAAGAGGGTCTTTCTTTACATCCTGGCTATTTGGGTTTCCACTTGTCTTCTGCAGATCAACAAATTTTTTGGGTGGAAATTGTCAGGAACTAAATGTTCCAATGTTAAAGCGCCGTTCGGAGAAAAGGGAACTCAAGCTATGATAGTTATCTACAGTCTGATTGGGTTTTATTTTCCATGTTTGATTACTTGGGCTTCGTTTGCCCATATCACACTGCTGTTCAAGACATCGCCAATGGCAAGATGCTACGGTGAACGACAGAGAGCGCAGCAGAGAGCGTTACTGCGCATGTGCGCTGTGGCATCAATCACTCTGACATTGTGTTGGCTTCCAGCTCAAACCATTTACGTTCTTTCTCCTTTTGGCGTCACTCAGATTGGTAGTACATTACAACGTGCAGGRGGAATTCTTGCTATGTTTAATTCGTGTGTCAATCCTTTGATTTACTGGATGACAAACAGCGAGTATAGGGTTGGTTTGTGTGAACTCTTCATGAATTCAAACATGAAATGTTTCAGGAAAAGGAGTTCTAAACAGTCTAAACGGGGGAGTGACTATGTATTCCAGAGTGCTTTTCCCAGATCTAATGAACTAAACTTTGAGGAGACTGCATTGTAAGATTTTAGCGTTTTCGTGTGGATTTTCAATTACATTTTTCATTCATCTCATCATCTGTCCTCATTGCGCCATGTGACGCATAAGGCCTTAAATTATGTAAGTCCCGGAAGAGAGGGGGGATTTTGGCTCAAAGAGCGCAAATCCGAATTGTGGTCCTCCTTCTGGCAACCAATGGTGGCGTTACATATCTTCGCTACACAGTGCTGACGAGTCCCAGTCAGGACGAAACAGCTGTCCACTGTTGCGATCCTACTTTATCAGTTCTTGCCATGTTGGTGTCTCGAAACGTCTTTCACCTAGTATCAGCCTTGCAGTCTATTGTTTTTCTTTACATTCTTTCTTTGGCTGATCAGATCTCTTGTACGTTGGCAGCGTTTATCGTATGCGGTCCCTTGCAGTTTGTGGTTTCGCAAATTTCATGTAGGTTTGGCCAAAAATCAACTTTTTTGACATAATTCTGTATTTTTTTTTCCAGTTGTGTTCATCATTTTCCTGAAATTCACCAATTTGTACATTTCATAAGCATTCTGGCTTGATTCTGTATTAATTTCCGTTATTTCTTGACTTTTTAAGAAAATAGCAAAATCCAAGATGGCGAATCCAAGATTGCGGGTCAAATGACGTCATTTGACGTCATATGACGTCAAAACCAACAGATATGGTATCATTTTGTAGAGCAAGCTTAGGGCTATCTAATCAGTGTAAATTCATTTCGCTGTGCCTTAACAGAGCGAAAACCCAAGGAGAGGGTTCCATCCAAGCCCCCCTTCCCTCCCTCCTTGTACCATGATGGCGGTATGACTCGAGGGTTAATAAATTCTTCTAGCCCTGATTATCAGGACGAAACGCCAAATATTTCAGTTAAAGGTAATGTTAAGCTTAATGCAGCTTTTTGAAAGCATGTAGGTGCTTCTCGCTTTATTCGCGATACTATTTCAGATCTAATAATCGCTCAGCCATCCAGCATAGCAATTTTGTAGAGCAGGCTATTTCAGATCTTCTGGCCACAGGTTCAGTGGTCGAGTGCGAGTGTAATCCTACTGTTGTGCTGTTGTTGTGAACAATTAGAGTTCTGAAAGAATAATGTTTCTAATCTCAATTCTAGTGCAGACGTTGCTCGTAGACTATCTCGTACTGTATACTCGGAAGTTAACGCTGTTGAATGTGCTGCTTTTAGGGACCATTCATGAATTATGGGTCAGTGGGGCCGGAGGAAAATTAGGCGGGGCATCGAAAAAGTTTTTCGAAAAGGAGGGGGGGCTCCCAAAATTGTTTTAC